ATTGTCATTGAAGTTATCAACATCCCTTATTTGTGGTTTTTCAGGTGGTACCAGAGCCTTGAGGTGGCAACATGTAAACAGCAGGGGCGACACAGGCGAGCAGCCAAGGTGAAGGAGCAAAAGATGGGAATCGGTGCGGGCAGGCTGCAATTTTGGCAGTATCTCAGCATGTGTCTTCTACTTTGTTTTCTTTGCAGGTGTGACGTGGTCTCGGATGTGCAAAGCAGCATGCTGACAAGAGATCTGACAAGGTGAGGAGGTCGCGTGTCGGATCAGGGTCTTGGAGCAAAGTATCATACGGCTCCTCAATGACGCGTATCTCTTTTGGTTTTGCAGGGGCTGTGCGGCCCGCCTTTGGCACTAGACCAGTGTTTGAGGTGAGTCGGGGTGGTGGCAAGGACATATCTGTTGCAGCAGAAGTGATGATGGTAAAGCGTCCGACTCTGGAACGAGCAGGTGAGCAGAGCACCCGGGTGCTTCTGAGGAGGGGGTTGGCGTTGGCCAGTGTGATGCTTCCTGTCAGCACTGTTTCTGGCTTTTTTCCTTTTCAGATGACAAAATGAAACGAGGCGAGTGCAGGAGCTTCCCAGTTAGCCAATGTGCTTTTTGTCGAGGATGGATTCAGACCCCTGACCCTCCAAAAGCTAAGTTGAGGGACTGGGGCTGGAAGAATGTGGAGGGAGAGGAACACGGTTGGGCATTGTGGGCAGGGCTTATAAAGTTAGCGTAGGGGAGAGCTGTGCAGGAGCGGGCCTCTCTAGGCATGTAAAGCGAAGGGGGTTCCATTCATCCTTGGACTAGTATGGGCAGGGCAGTTCCAGCCTGTGTCTGTGGTGCTATGTTGTTTGTGTCGTCTGCCTTCTGTGTCTTAGACCTTACTGGGGTCTCAACATCCTTGTTGTTCTTCACAGTCAAGGAGCTCATTATGCACACCAGGCACCACCCCTGGGGTACTGAATGCCCCTACTCATCGGCATAGTGCCAATTGGGCGTGTCTCTTCTTGCCTTACAAGCGTAAATCGTGGATCGATCTCACACCTCAGAAGTTTCTAGTCGGTTCTCTTTTGCGGCGTTGTTCCAGGCTGTGCCAGCAGCTGTTCTCTCTACCGGTCCATTTTCATGGACTTTAGGACTTGTTCGCCCCATCCTTACCATCTTAGGTCTTGAAGCTGGGCTTCTCGCACATCCATCGTCTCCATTTTGACCGTAACTTCTTGTAAGGGACCCTCGGGTTCTCCTGGTTTTCTGGGGCTGCTGTAGAGCCTCCTCGCTCTGGGCTATTGCAGCCCTGTCGGTCTCCTTGTCTGACAGCTTCTCTCGTCCAGCAGTCATTGTTCTTGCGGAGAGTTTTCTCTCTTCTTTGAATCTCATTGTTTGTGGTGTTGTGTGTAATGTTGGTCTGTGCCTACGTGTGTTTTGGCTTGGAGCTGCTCTGCCCAGAGACCTAGAGTCAGGGGGAGGGGGCATAGCAATAAGAGGCTGCGGTTAATAGGTCAACAGGCCTAGACTATTTAGGCTGAGGCTGGGCAGTCCGCTTGAATGGAGCGGCCATCAGCAGGCAGTGTGGACTCTCATTTCAACAGTGTTTTACAGAGATGACTGGAGTTGTGTAGGAGGGGCTGATTGATGGCAGCAAAGCGGATTGAATCTCAAAAGTATTCAGGCTTCTGTGTGTGGGGTCTAAAGTTTTGTCCTTTTTACATTGTATTTTCTTAATGGCAGGCTAGACGTGGCCTCTAGATAGTATTCTGAAATCAAGCAATGGAGCTGGACTCTAAGGTCTTGGTCAGCCTCTGGGTGACATGTTTATTAACTTTTTGCAGTTGCCTGTGGACAAGATGGGCCCCAAAGAGGCACGGAGGTGGCGAGCGGTGCGCCAAAAGAAGGTGGGTTGGTGCATGATGTTGAGGGAAGATGTGACCGGTGGCTACATGACTCCACTTAGCTGGTGGTTTGTGAGTTATTTTGAAGGTGCAAAGGAATAAGCGCAGTGAGATATCGGCACCAGCGGTGACCTCAACAAGGTGAGCTATGACCAGTGGGCTGAAGTATCAGTTACTTTTCAGGAGTCATATTGTTGGTGAAGCTATAAGCGTCCTTTGTTTGTGTTTCGTAGATGGTACCTAAGCTGCAGCATGGCAATATGTAAATGGCAGAGAACACAGGTGAGCAGCCAAGGTGTAAAGGCTGGGAGATGGCAGTTGGTGTGGGTAGACTGTGTGGTCTTGGGCAGCATCTCAGCGTGTCTCTCTTTGCTGTGATTGTTGCAGATACCGCATGCAGACTCAGAGGGGCATGACAACATGCTGACCGGAGGTCTGAGAAGGTGAGGCGATTGTGTGCTGAGTCAGTGTGCAAGAGCAAATTATTGTG